TCATCTTTTTTATTTATTTAAAAAAATATTAATTTTGTAAAACAAAAACATAAATTTTAAAATAAAATTATATGAAGAGAAAAAAACTATCTTACTTATTTAAATTGATTTTAGCATGCACATCAATGTTATTAACATATTTTTTAAATATTTGTAATATTTTTCCATTAACTAAATTTTTATAGTAATTTTACTACTAATTAAATAATTCATTTAAAAATTAATTTAATAATCTTAAATTAATAGATAAATAGATAGAGTAATAATCAATTTATACTGGGTGTATATCTTATATCAATTATTAGTCATTAATTCAACTTGTATAAACTTTAATGATTAGTTACATACCAGTGGAACTAATAATTGATAATGAGTATAAGGCTTATTTGACCTATACAAATACAAGCTAATCCTCTCCCAAACAAATAATATAATGTTATCATTTCTTGTCATATGATTTATATGTTCTCACATGTGAATTTTTTTTTAATACGGGTTTCATTAGTAAATATAATAATTGTGATATATATATTGAAAAAACATTTTTTCATGTTATATGAGAATTCAATTTTTATGTTGTGACTCTTCGATTTACGTGTAATTTTTTTTTTTTTAATAAATGTGAAGTTCACCACTAGTTGAGTCACAACATGAGAATTGAATTCTCATCCAACATGAGAAAATCAAATCCCATAAATATGTGGAAAAAATCTTATATTATGATAATCCATGACATGAAAGACTTTAGTCAATGGATTAAACTATAATTTGTCATAATAAATGAGCCCATTTTCCTTATACAATATTCATTCAGTACACCCAATGGGTGCAGCTCAATTGGTTTTTTGGCGCTGAGTTAGTGTGGTTGGACATGTGTTCGATTCCAGCTGAATGCATCATTGAGGAGGGGGCTGAACCTTTAGCCATTACTGACCCCCGCACTCCGGATTAGTCCCATAGCCGGCTCAAAGAATCGAAGCCGTGGAGAAATCGGAGGGAGCCAAATCGCCTCAAAGAAGTAATTAGGATTGGGTAACTCCAAAAAAAAGTATTCATTCAGTACATTGCTAACAAATGTAAGACTTTATTATTTATGTACAAATTTTCAACAAAAATAAATAAACTCACATCATATCTCAATCCAAAATTTTAATACAATGAATTGATAGATAATTTAACTTAAATAATTGCTGGTGATAAAAATTCTAACCAATATAATGTTTTACCACTCATACTTAAAATCTCAAAATAAATGTATTGCAATAAAACTTGATCTCATGTCTTTTCATTATATTTCTTTTGATTTATCTATTTTATTTTTAAAATAATATTAACCATCAGGTGCTACATATATTCAATTTATATCACTTTCATACTGACCGTTTAAAAGGTCGAGCCCAACATATTATCCCAACTGAGGGATGTGATGATTACTATAGAGGTACCTAACATTGCTATAGTAAAGACCAATACAGCGAAATGAGTTCCCATAAGTGAAATATGCAGGATGAGGAATAGTTAATGACAAAATGGACTCTTCAGATTGGCATAGTAACGACTCATAAGTCATGGATCCTTTGTGTGGTGAGGGAGGGGTATTTATATGTCTCAACGTGCTAGGAGAATATGCCAAGTCAACTGGTATAAGGGGAAGCTAAAATGGCTTGGCTCACTTGGAGCAGGACGCCTATCACCGGCTGACCTTCTGACAACGGCACCTGGCAGGGGAAAGTGAGGGGGGGAGCATTTTGGTGTTCTATACTGAGTACCTGTTGTGGGGGCAAAAGGGATGTGGGGGCTTTTCGAGGTAAACCATTTTGATGTCTAAGGTTAGGGAGCTGGTTTTTGTAATCAGATGGTGACAGGAGTGTCAGTGCTGCTGGTGGCTTGGGCCTCTGGTGTTGGGCCTGCCTTGCTGGGCTGACAGATTGGGCTAGCTAGAACACATACTATTATTTAATTATATATTAACACTAATATAAGATTTCAAATTAATTAGATGATATTGGGAGACACTATTAATATCAAGTGTAAATACGTTAACCATATATTTACTGTGATGAGTCGATCAAGCACTAGTAGGTGAGGCTCAAAATTGGTATGCATGGAAGCAAAGTGCATGAAGAAGATTAAGTGGTGAGAAGATAACTCATAGCATATTCGTGATATGGAATTTCCTTGCATGTGTCTCCAATATTGCACATAGCACATTCAGTGAGAATCGAAGTCAGGGATTTTTTTTTACATATTTCCAATTTGCAATGAGTTAAGATATAAGTTGGGGGGTGTCTTTGCCTTATAACCCCACTTTATTTGCATGTAAATAAACTTAGCATGTACTAGTAGAAATAATTCAATAATTCACACAAATTATAAAAAATAACAAGTGGAAAATAATATACTATGCTTTTCTCAAAATATTTTAGAACAGCTTAATTAGTGGGATAAATGTATTTTTTAATTACCATAGTTTAGTTAACCACACTGAAATTGATTAAAGAACTTCATAAATTATGTGAATTTATTAAAAAAATCAGATAAATGTAAAGTTTAAATTTATAACAATCATAATCATGCATCTTACAATAAAGATTAGTAATTATAGTAATGGGCTATTGGTTTTTAAAACACTTAAGTGAAAAATTAGATTCAGTGGCCTCGTAATCGTAAACCAGATCAAACTCGTTTAAGAAATCACTTAACATATTGGTAACCTGATGAATTGTTGAGATGATTAGTTTTGTTTGAGGTGGCATGCTTTTTTAATAAAAATAAAAATAGAGGAAAGAGAGGATGTCTTTGTTTTAAAATTAGACATATTAAAAGTCTTAAATACTCTTAATACAAATTTACAGTAAATAGCTCATATATATATATATATATATATATATATATATATATATATATATATAGATATATAATTTTTCAAGTAAAGACAATAAAGTGGACCATGTAACATCATACGAGGTTACGTAGAGGTGATAAAATAGGTCAGCTCGCTCCAATCTGCAGCCAGCCCGCTAAAAATAGGTTGGTCCGCCCGCCCTAATCTTCATATGGGTTAAAAATCTCAACTCACCCCATTCTGTGGTGGATTTGCGGTCAATCTGGTTAAAAAAATAAAAAATAATTTAAAATTAATTATATTTTATTAATTTTATAACATTTTTTTTGGTAAGCAATTTTATAACATTTCTTATTTTCATTTCACCATCTCCATACTTTTTTTTTGTCTCAAGCCTAAATGGATAATGTATATTAATATTCAGTCAGTTATTTTTTAATAATTTATTTTTGTCTCTATATACGAATAACATTTGTCATAAATAAAATTTCTCTTCTTTATTTTTTTTAGGGGAGTACTAAGATAAAAAAAGTCATATTACAAAAGCTTAATAACAAATAAAATACTACCTAATAATAAAAAAATAAAAAATAACTCGCGGGCCAACCAGCCCCAACCCACCATCAACTCGTTTTAACCCACAACTAAACGGGGCAGGTTGAGATAGTTGGTGGGTTAAATGTATAACTCAACCTGCTCCATTTTAACAGATTGATCCGTCCCGTTCAACTCATATTGTCATTTTTAAAATTACGAGATATTTTATTTTTACAACTTATGAATAATTATAACAGGTCATTAAATTAAGGGATAAATTAAGAAAAAATTAAGATTATGTATTTCAATCCCTTATAATTATATATTTTGAAGAATATATAATTATAATATTAAAATATTTATTGTTTTTTTCAAAAATTTGTCAGCAAATATAAAGAGAGAAAATTATAATTATATATTTATAGAATAATAATTAAACGGAATGAAATGACATAAACTAATATATTTACAAATACGCTACACCTTTAAATTAAATATCCTTACCACGAATTGTACGGGAATAGTTAAGGCATTGGCAGCAGTGCCATGGGAACCAGTATACAGTACAGAATTGTGCTTCTCCAATTTTGGCAAGCAGTGCCAAGCACACAAAGTGACGACGGGCACTGACCAATTGACCATCCACACTACGAAATTTCAAGTGCCATTCGTCAGTTTTTTTTTTTTTTTTTGGTTACAATGCCATTCGTCAGCTTTTGTTATTACTAATAATACAAGATTTTATAAGAGTTATGTTGTATAAAAATGATTATGTAATGTTATAGAGATTCGTTTTGCGTGCTGTAATTTTTTTTTTTCTTCAAAAAATGTGAGTCCTATAAAATATTGTGTGTAGGAAAGTTTGTTATGTCATGTTAAATGATAAATGCAAATTCCAATAATATATCACCCTCTCCCAATTTATTTTCAAACCTATTTTTTATCCATGTAATTTCATAGTACAATACATTATAGTAAAAATAATAGTAACAGTATTAATGAAATCCTAAGGGGAATTGGGGAATGAACTTGGGACGTGGTTTTCATTAATAAGAGAAGCATAAGTCATTAAAATTGATCTAGTAATAAAAGATTTAAATAATCTACCCGAAATCATGTATTCAAACTTTAATGTCATTATCCAAAAAAAAACAGAGGGCACGCTTTTATTCTGTATATCTCGCGGGTGGATATAGAACTGGCTCAACCCTCAGCGACGACAAAAATTAACGTCCTATAAGGATATCTGAATTAATAAACTATAATTAAAGTTAATCTATTATTAAAACACAAACATGAAGCATTTTATATTTTGTCCACTGGATTAATATTTTTTATATTATAAAAAATAATTTTATCCCTTGTACATATATAAAAAAATATAAATTTATATAAAACTATATAAAGAAAAAAATAAATAAATATAAAATAAAATTATCTAACAGAGAAATACTAATAGCTTTGTCTACAACTGTCAAAAAAGAAAGGGGGGGGGGGGGCCCTCTGGCCCTGTCTGTGCGAGTTTGTACTTTATGCAATCTATTAATATCTCTCACACTCTCAAGGCACTCCCCACTCTGCTTAATGCTTAATGCTTAATGCTTAATGCTTAATTGCAATGGCTAAAATTCGGTTGAACACTACTCCTCCTCCTCAACCACTACTTTACTGCATCTTGTTCATTCTCTTTAGTTTACTCTCCTCCCAAAATTTAGCTTTTTCCACGGATCAAATTTTCAAAACCTTCATCTTCAGGATTGATTCTGAATCCAAGCCCTCCATTTTCCCCACTCACTACCACTGGTACACCTCCGAGTTCGCCGAACCAACTCGCATACTCCATCTTTACGACACCGTTTTCCATGGCTTCTCTGCGGTTCTTACTCAACAACAAGTTGCTTCCCTCACCCAACACCCCTCTGTACTTGCAGTCTTCGAGGATCGTCGCCGCCAACTTCACACCACTCGCTCCCCACAGTTTCTTGGCCTCAGAAACCAGCGCGGTCTTTGGTCCCAATCCGATTACGGCTCCGATGTAATTATCGGAGTCTTCGACACGGGGATTTGGCCGGAGCGCCGGAGCTTCGCCGATGTTAATTTGGGCCCCGTTCCTCGTCGCTGGAAAGGGGTTTGCCAGGCGGGGGTTAAATTTTCGGCCCGTAACTGTAACCGGAAGTTGATTGGTGCTAGATTTTTCTCGAAAGGGAACGAGGGAAGTGGCAGTTCCATCAACGACACCGTCGAATTCCGATCTCCTCGAGACGCCGATGGCCACGGAACCCATACGGCATCAACTGCGGCTGGTCGTTACGTTTTTGGGGCAAGCATGGCGGGCTATGCTTCTGGAATCGCAAAGGGCGTGGCTCCAAAAGCCCGATTGGCTGTTTACAAGGTGTGTTGGAAGAATTCAGGTTGCTTTGATTCTGACATTCTCGCTGCATTCGACGCCGCCGTCGCCGACGGTGTCGATGTGATTTCCATATCAATTGGCGGCGGCGATGGTATTTCCTCACCTTATTATCTGGACCCCATTGCTATTGGATCTTACGGTGCAGTTGCGAGGGGTGTTTTTGTGTCTTCTTCGGGCGGAAATGATGGGCCCAGTGGAATGTCAGTGACCAACCTTGCTCCGTGGTTGACGACGGTCGGAGCAGGCACTATTGATCGGGATTTCCCTGCGGAGGTTATATTGGGTGATGGACGCAGACTCTCCGGCGTGTCTCTTTACTCAGGAGCGCCATTGAAGGAGAAAATGTATCAACTAATTTATCCCGGAAAATCAGGGGTACTTACGGATTCACTGTGTATGGAAGATGCACTGGATCCCAACATTGTGAAGGGCAAGATAGTAATTTGCGACAGGGGAAGTAGCGCGAGAGTTGCCAAAGGGCTGGTGGTTAAGAAAGCCGGTGGCGTTGGAATGATTCTGGCAAATGGTATGTCTAACGGAGAAGGTCTTGTTGGGGATGCTCATCTTCTTCCTGCATGTGCACTCGGTGCTGACGAAGGTGATGTCATCAAAGCATACATCTCATCCTCTACTAATCCCACGGCCACCATTGATTTCAAAGGAACTGTACTTGGAATCAAACCGGCACCGGTTCTGGCATCGTTCTCTGCCAGAGGACCCAACGGGTTGAACCCGGAGATACTTAAACCGGATTTGATTGCACCGGGAGTCAACATTCTCGCAGCTTGGACCGATGCGGTTGGTCCTTCTGGTCTTGATTCTGATACGCGGAGAACTGAGTTCAGCATCTTGTCGGGTACTTCAATGGCTTGTCCACATGTGAGTGGTGCAGCTGCCTTGTTGAAATCTGCGCATCCTGATTGGAGCCCTGCTGCCGTAAGGTCGGCGATGATGACGACGGCGACTCTGCTTGACAATTCTAACCACCTCATGATCGACCAAGCCACCGGCAATGGTTCCACGCCCTTTGATTTCGGCGCTGGACATCTCAATTTGGGTCTTGCCATGGACCCTGGTTTGGTATACGATATCTCCGACGATGACTACGTCAACTTCTTATGCGGTATCGGTTATGGGCCTAAGGTAATTCAGGTGATTACTCGATCAGCACCGAATTGTCCGGCCAGGAAGCCGTTGCCGGAGAATTTGAATTACCCATCGTTTGTTGCTCTGTTCCCCGGCGAGTCCAGAGGGTTGTCGAAAAAGACGTTCATCCGGACGGTGACGAACGTGGGCCCGACAAACTCGGTTTACAGGGTGAGGGTGGAGTCGCAGGTGAAAGGGGTGACGGTGACGGCGAGGCCATCGCAGCTTGTGTTCTCTGAGACAGTCAAGAAGGGTAGTTTCGTGGTGACCGTGACGGCGGATACCAGGAATCTGATGATGGGACAGTCCGGGGCAGTGTTCGGGTCGCTTTCTTGGACGGACGGAAAACGCGTGGTTCGGAGCCCCATAGTCGTTAGTCAATTTGAACCCTCGTAATTAAAACTTTCAGTCACGCCGTTCTGATCATCGATGTCACTCGTTCTTAACAGAACAGAGAAGTTTTATCATAGTTTATATTTGCTTTCTTTTTTATAAATTTAGAAGCTGGTGTGTGTCTTTTTTTTCTCTATTCAAAAAATGGAAATGTTAGAGCAGCTAAGGGCAAAATTGAAGGAGCTGGTTTGCTCAAAATATTTGTATCGAAAGAAATGAACCAAGCAGAATTTGGATAACTGTCTCACTCATTCTTATTAACTAATCAGTAACCCCCTTCAGAAATAGTACCATGTCTTGTTTTTACTTTTAACTTAATCTCATATTTGTAGACTGAGGCTCCTACTTATACTCAATGTAACGAACTTAATTTATGTCAACTGTTAAACTGTCAATATTATTGCGTATTTGTATCACGTGTTATCAAATTGTGTGGCTGTGGATTTTTGCCATCTTCGAGCCAGGAATCAAATTAGACTGAGCTTTCCAATTGGAGAAACTAGTCAGCATGCGTTAGAATGATTTTGGCTCAGTGGAAGAGCGCAGAAAGTTTAATAATACTTTATGGGAGCGAGAGAAAACGGTAGCTAGCAATGGCTTGGCAAATGTTTGTTGGACCTTTGAAAATCGTAAATTTCTCACTTTTTGACTAATGAATCGGGTCAAGTGCACTCGTGTTTAGTCTGGACTTTAGAGAAGTTGGGCAGAATGCCAGTTTCAATTTGGTTCATCTTCTTTCTTACCATGCAACATATTGGAGTCCTCCTTAGCTAGAATACAAGAACGATCCTTCAATTTACCATCAGTTTTACACTTGCTCTGTTGCCCCTTTTCCCTGATTCTATTTGCCTATTCGTTAAAAGTTTAGCGACACGTCGATTTATCCTAATATTTTGGGAAGCGTTGTAGCATGTAAGAAACGTATTGGTTTTCCAGTTTTCTTTCTATTTATCCAGCGACACGTCCAAGACAAGATCAATTGGGGAAGAACTAACTAAAATTAGAGCCGGCAAAACGGGCTCGGCTCGGGGGTCAACCCGTCCAACCTGTTAAACGTGGTGGGGCGGACTGAGTTTTTTAACTCATTTCAAAAGCGTGGGCGGGGCGGGCTCGTTTTTTGACGAGTTGATGGCGGGCATAGGCGGGCCGAGGTGGGTCAGTGTAAAATAGGCTCGAGCTGGTGGACCAACCCGCCAAACGGGACGGGACAGGCTGAGTTTTTCAGCCCACTTTCAAAAGTGAGGCGGGGCGGGCGGGACTCATTTTTTGGCTATTGATGGCGGGACAGGGTGAGCCGCGCACTTTGCTACCTCCAGCTAAAATATGCGCTTTGCTGCTACTTCCTTTGGAAAGTGGCTAACGTGAGGCTCACATCTATCACTTCTCCCGTGTCAACAGCTTAACACCTCAAAAAGACCGTTTTATAGGTCATTTCTGGTTTCGTGGTTATAGTCCAGTTCCTCCTCGATCACTTGCTGACTTTCTCTCCACAATGAACAGTGCCTAAAACTACCCTCTTATTGAAGACTTGGTGACTGTGTTGTCTAATTTATAATTCACAGGAAGGAAAATATTGTACAATTTGTACACCATGAACATAACGATCGGTCACCGTTAAATATTATCATGGAATTATATGGTCTGCGCATTGCAATGCTGAAATTTGCTGGAAAGAAGATACATATTAGCAGCTCCTAAATGGTAAATCATATTCCTGTTTCTACTTTAATACGAATGCTTTGGGTTTGATTACTAATACACTAAGATTGTCATAATTATATTATATCGAAAGATGCCGTTTGATGTCAGTGACTTCGTGGAGAGAAGCTGTAAATAAACACAGATGCACAATATATAATGAGATATTGTAGATTACTGGTGAATGGTGACGCAAATAATTGGGTTCATGAAAATAACCCAACATCACCTAAAACTAAAAGCGGTCTTCTCACTGGCATTTGTGAGTCTTCCTTCAATTGCAGGCGCACGGAAAGCCCATTTCTTCACCCGTTATAATTCAAACCAATCGAAATTACAAACCCGTAGCTATGTGCTATTTTTTTATTCGTTCTCAATTCCTTTTTGGGTCTAATAGGCTTGTTTATAATTTAAACTAAAAAAGCCCCACCATAGGCCTGGTCATTTAAAGGAGCCCAGGTTAGGTTTATGATCATCTCAGGCCAAAAAATTCTGGCAGAATGAGAGTAAAAAGAAGTCCCAAAAGCCCAATTATATTTTTGGGCCTGTGCCCGTAAAATAACAGACTCATGAATCGAAGGTTGATTGATTCAGGATGGTGGGAAGCGAGGTAGTGAGAACTGAGAAGGCTCAAAATACTTGGTGACTCCCAATGATAACATCAACTTGGAATTGAAGACGCCTAGCTTGAATTTTTAGCACACCGCACAACTCCACTTGGAATTGACAAAGTTTATGAAGCTCTTTGGAGAGGGAAATAAATAATATTAAAGTGTGTAGAATTAAATGAGAGAGTTGTTAGTTCGTCTTTAGATTGGAGTTAATGTTTTGCCAATATAACCCGAAACCCACATGACATCAACATCTAAAGAGTGACGGTAATGATATAAAAGTCGATTTATTGTGCTAGTTGGTAGAAGGGCTACGACTATACATTAAATTTGTCAAGCTCAACCGTCTGTGGCTTGTGGGCAAGTTGTTATTCGTTAGGTCTTTGACATATCTTGCATCTCTAGCTGAATGCATGTGGCGACCCCGAAGGAAATGGGATCCACCTTGTAAAGTGAGAAATTGGCTCCATATTTTTACTTTTTCTTTTTGGTGAAAATTTCAGCTCACCTATGAGTCAGTGAGAGTGCTTTCAGAGCTGCGTCAAAGTGAAGAAACTAATAAAACAAATCCAATAATTGTAGCTTACCGTTCAAAATGTCATTATCATATTAAAATCATCGTTGGTATGTCTCCGAAATTTTACTTGAATTTTAGGATAAAGGGCCCAACGTCATGTGATGCCAATGTCGTGTCTACAAAGATCATTCACCAAACTTCTGATTACGGCCAATACTATATTGGAAGATTTCGGCAATTTAGAAATCTTGGGACTTTTTTTAATGGATGTTAGGTAAAATGTTCGCAGGAAAATTCACCCGTTACTTCTGTATCATGCAATGCAGTTATCATTCTCTAAAAACTAAAAAGCACTGGCAGAAATACCCAAAAACATATGGAATACCTTCCAATTATATATAAATACACTCAAAGCAACGGAGGTCTGTTCGTTCAGTCCAAGTATTTAATCCAAGACCACTAAATTAATTAAAATGGAGGTTCTCTGTGGTCTGGTCTGTTCTAGGTGAAATTGAAGTTACTACCTTTAATTTATTTCTTTTTTAATATGTTTTTCCATATGTTACACTCCTTCGTTTTAGTGGTTTTACGATATGGTATTGTCTGTCTCAATTACTAGAGAACACTATGGACTGTCTATGGTGCTTGTGAAGTCAACCTGTCGTGAAATTAAAATTTCGTTCATTTGTTAACATTGGCTTAATTTAATCTAATCCCCAGTTCACCGAATATAAACACTTGAACGTATGAAGACGTTGTTGCTTGAACATAAATCAATGCCCGAGGACAAGAATTTGCAATGGCTAAAAACATTGTAACAGGCGCTTGCTTCCCCTACTTATTAACTCCCAATAATAATGATAATAAAATACTCTTTACCAACCAAAAATTAATAATAATAGTAAGGATTTGCTTTTTTTTACGGTGAATATAAATAAATTATTTACATTGAACTCAAAATGATGTTGTTTTGAGTGAAGATCAAGGTATTTTTATAATTATAATTTATTTCAGAGTTATAATAGTTTTTTTCATTATAATTTTTCAACCCAAAATAATATTATTTTGAAAATGAATATAAATAACTTATCTATATTTATTGTTGAAATAATAATAATAACGCCCACCCACGAAGATGTCTTAATTAATATCGTAATGCCATTGAAGTCTCCATTAAGAATGTTTGGTAAAACATATGGACAGCAAATTCAAAGCATGCATTGCATAAAATGGAATTGCGAATTCATGGCCTTACCCGTGTACCCACTATATAGACTATAAATCAATGTTATCGTGACCGAATCGGTCATTAATCCAAATTTAATTGGTGGATCACTAGTTAAATTGTATCATCCAGTTTAGTATATAAAAACTTATATTTTATATATAAAAATTCATAAAATATTTAAACATATATAAAAAAATTGTTATGTTGGGCTGCAAGCATATATAATTTTTGTATGGATAAAAAAAAGTCATATGTAATAACTACATACAATATATTGTAAAAGAAATAAACAAAGAAAAAAAAATTCAAGTATTAGCTAACCACATATAATTCCTCTATCAAGTATCTTCAATTAACTATGTTTAATAATTATAAGAAATTTACCAATAATTCTTCCCATAAAAATGAATTTGTAAGAAATTAATGTCACATTCACTTAATTTACTGTTCTACAAATTGCTTTGGTCCAAAAAGCTAAAATTTGAGGTCACTGAAGGAAAATATACTACAAGTAAATAATACTACAAAAATATTTGAAAAGAGTTCTATACTTTTTTCAGAAAAGATGAGACAACTTTTTTTTTATATATATATATAAATGCATGACTCACCAATTTTTACCGAGTTCGATATGTGGCTAGTCCGATACTTGACTCAAATTAATTCGATAACTGGTTCGCCGAATTACAAATCGACCCAATCGGTTCGAGTCAAGTGTGATAAATGCAAGGTTGCTTACCTGTGGCGGACTTGTGTATGTGCAAGTGCACACACAAATTTTTTGGAGAAAAAAAGAATAAAATATATTTTGGGTCATCAACAAAAATTACAGGACCCAAATTAATCTCTTAAAATAAAAGTCGACTCGTGATCCCTTTAAATTCCAAGATAGCCATGTTAGTCATTTTGAGGGATTAATGTGGGTCTTTTTGAATTTCAGAGGACCATG